TGGAGAGGTTATTGCTTTGTGTGGAATGTTTACAGTATGGTACTGAACCTTTCTATCGTCATGGAGGCCAAACCAGACCAAATTACAGGTCAGATCTGTGTAGAGCCAACCCCACTCAGAGTCAGAATGCCTTTTTTTCTGAGTGTTTTGAGCTATAAAACCACCTGTAACTGAATAAATGTAAAGTAGAGCTGTTTAATGTCATACTGTGGAACATTCAGGCAGAGCAATCCATAGAAACAAACAGGTGGCGGACTCTCAACCAAAAAGTTTCATAGTGTACCTTTCACAGAACAAAGGAAAAAAAAAAATCCTCCCACCCCCCCCCACCTTCCTCTCCACATGTACAGCACAAATCTCAGCAGTCACTCAAGTCCAATCTCGTCAAAATGTTCAAGAAAGGTGTCCATAAAAAGATCAGATTTTCTTGTACAAACGCTAATGTCGCATACAGGTCATGCACAAGTCTCAAGGGTAGCTATTTTGTTAAAATATTAGAGGGTCAAGGGGTCCAAAGGTCATATGCATTCAACCTTTTCCTAATCAATATTCGAGCTGCTGTTCACACTGGATGCCCGGGAGAAGCCGGTGACTGGGAGGAGGGGGTGGAGAAGACGATGTGGAGAGGAGGTTGTGGAGAGAGCTATGGGAAGTAATTTTGCACACATCATGCTTCGAACGCCTCCCAGTGTTTCCATGGTAACAAGAAGCTCTGCGCTGGGGGCATAGCTCGTAAATCCAAAGGTCTGTGTTCATTCAAAACACAACAGTTTTTTACCATGCAGTACAAGTGTTTTTGCTGCTCTACAAGAAGTTCAATGACTGGGAGAGACAGTAACTTCAGGGTGGTGAAAGTGAACATTTTATAGTGTAAATGACTTTGAGGAGAGAGGGGAAACCTTTCTCATGCCATTACTGTTTAATCTACCAAAATTACATCTGCAACCAAGATTGTAAAGTGCAATTTCAGACTGATGCCTCAATTCCCATTTACAAGTAAATATCCAGTGTGTCATTAGCTAAAAGGGTGCTCACTTTCAATCCGCCAAGAAAAATAGGACTGAGAGACAGACGACAAAAGAAACAGACACAGACCATGCATTTTAATGACTTAAATTGTCTTTCAATTTCCATACAAGTGCCATTACAAGAGCTAACTTTATGGAAATGGCTGAACTTCAATCTGATGACGTATGCGCTCCCATACAAACCAGCTGCTTACCTGTCACTGTCAACACTTGTGATTTCATTATAGAGGCCATTGCAGAAGGTTGGCCTGTCCTTTGGCAGCAGAACACTTATGATGAGCAGGCTAATGCACACATAATGTCCTAGCCTATTTATCATCTCTGCACTTATGTTGACACAGCTCCCCTACCACAGTGCATATAGTATTTGTTCTCGTTCTGACTGGAGATCGAATGAGATCTTTTGCACCCGTACAGCTGATTTTGATAATTTTCCTCAAATTATGTAATTTACAAGAAACTCACCCACAGTCCTTTTTACCGCACACATTTAAGAGAGTTGTGTAGTCATGTTGTATTTAAGTGTTAATATGAAGCTTTTTGTGTATTTTTTAGACAGCAGATCGACTAAAACAAATATTTTAGATTTAAGGCTGATACGTCTATCTCTAGTTCTGACTGGACTAGTTCTGACTGAACCATATTGGACAATAAGAGAGATAGCAATACTTATTACAGTTTTTGTTTTGCTGTTTGTTTGTTTTTTTATTTAGCTTTGCAGATGAGATGGAGTACAGCAGGAAATTGGGCAGAGAGCAGGAAGAGACAATCTTGAAATTACCAAGAGACTCATTTGAAACTCCAATGCTGGGGTATAGGGTCATGTTGCTGAACTGCTTGTTTTATAAGCAGTAAATATATAATTTTGTAAAACAAGAAAAAAGAAAAAACAAGCAGTTCAGCAACATGACCATATATGTTATGGTACTGTTATGTGTGGTGTGTATATGTGAGTCATAATGTATATATTTACAGAGAGTAAAATGACTAAATGTACATTTCAATTAATAGCAGTTTTGACAGTTCAAAAACATGCAGGTGAAGTGAGTTAGTAACATGAAGACATCTGTTCTGCATTGTAAACATTTAGCACACAGACCATTCCTAATCCTAACTCCTACCAGACTAATTCTACCATAAGATCTTAATCAAGTACTATGTACAGGCCACATCACTGATTAGGGACAACAAAGATTCTGGGAATACTGTGCATACACATTTTTGAGTTTCTACTGCACTTGAAATCCATGTTTAACAAACAATTGAGAATACCCAAAGTGATCCAAACATGAGTCAGCCTTAGTTTTTCTTACTCAAGGGTGGAAACAAACATATAGTAAAAAAAATATGCCCTCATTAAAAGTACTTCTAAAATACTTCAGTTTGACTCATCCTTCTGTTTCCACTCCATTTCTGCAGCCACACAAGAGCCAGGGGAGTTCTCTGTCATAGCTGAAAACATCCTGTTACAATGATGCACAAAACAAAAGCATCTTTAAAAGCCAAAATTGGAAACTATTCAGGGCAGCTTTCCAATAGAGTGGCCCAAAGAGGACTTCTTGGTGGTCTGAAGAGAGGTGCATTGTGGGAAAAAAGTTATAGTGGACTTCCAACTTTTGCAAATTTTGAAGATTGGGTTTTATCTGTATTCTGCAGCACTTCACTTGTAAACAGCCACATTAATAGTCTATGCATTTGTCTGCAGTGGTCAACTCATCACTCACCTGTCTCCTCCTTATTTGTTCCTCCATTTACTTATCTGTCAATCTGCAACTCTTTATTACCTGGATTCACCCCATTACCACTGTGGTGCTGGCAGCAAACCAACAATACAAAATCTTCTGCCTGAAGTTTAAAGGTCTTATATCATAAAATGGATTCTTTCTTTAAGCCCTGTTATAGTGTTCTCAGAAACATACCTGGAGTCGTGTTTTGTTTAATTCGCACATGTTTAAGTAATCATTTATTATTAGTCTGTCTACATCTCCAAAGATCAAAATGCTCTGTTCCACCTTGTGATGTCATGAAATGGTAGTTTTCAAGTTAAAAGGTACTGTTTACTTTTAGTTCAGAAGCGATTGGCATCTCCAGGGCTGAAATTATCCAAATAATTCTAGTGAAGGCGTATGGAGTTTAAAACACAGTGGAGCACTTCCTGTATTACCTCTATGACACCACAAGGTGGAACAGACTGTTTTCTGTTTGAGAGAACAACTCAGCCTAAATGTGCAGAATTTGTGTGTTAAACATGTGTGAATGAAACAAAACACAACTCCAGGTATGTTTTTGATGAGGAAACATTATAACATTGATCAGAATATGGTCAACTTTGTTGACAATTAAATTAGTGCCACACAATTAAAATAATCTCTGACTAACTGAGACTTCATTTGGTTATAATTAATAAAAAAATAAAAAAATAAATTAAATTAAAAATACATAATCTATTTTACATTTTGTTCATTGTAAACCTCAATATAAAAACAGCTTAATAATGGGAATGGGGCCATGGTTACTGTTAACTTCACATGTGACATCTGAATTTTGTGAATGACACCATGCAAGTACACGGCTGTGGGCGGAGACAGGGAAAATGGGATAGCATATTAATTAATTTAATTAATTTATTATAGCTGATAGAGACAAAAACACATATTGTGGTTAAGATGGATTTGGTAATTATATTATTTTGTATCACATATTATATTTAATTTTACTGGGTAAGATTAAAAATACACTTACTGTTGCCATGATGATGGCAATAGAAAGGTTTATCATAATTATGTCAATATATTTATAAATGTACTGCACTTATTTATAACATCATACAGTCCTTTGGGAAACACCAAAATGTGCTTTTACATTTGGCCCTCCTATGAGGGTATCCCGCCCACCTCCTGCACAGTAATTAGAGCTGACATGACAGAGTCAGCGGCCTCACCTGACATCAGGCACCAGCTGCACCTGCCATTATTACAATAACTAAATAATCTTCATTTTCCTTAACTTGTGACAGCATGTTAAGGCAAATAAATCCCCCAGCTCATCCTGACCAAGCCTAACTCAATATCTGAAGATGGGACCCTGCACTGCAACACCCACTGCTCCTGAAAGGGTGCCCCAGCTGCATCAAAGGAAGGGTCAAATGCAGAGGACAACGGGGAAAATAAAGATTAACTTTTAAAAGTAAAAAATGAATGCCCAAGGAATGCAAGAGCTTGTAAATAAGGAAATTAGGTTTACATTCTAAAACAGGAGTTGTAGTAGACCAGTAGTGACAAGTAGGAGTAAGTAAGGAGTAATGCAAAAACTATATTATATACAATATTTGTTATAACAGTTTTGTAATTTAAAAGTAATTGACCATAACAGATTTGGGGTTTTACTGACAACATAACATAGGCCTAGTTTTTATCCATCTCTGGCAAAAACACAAATGTATTTCGTTTCATGTTGTTACCTCTGAGTATCAATATGATAACAGTACATCGGACTTGCTTCTTGGACAGTAATTTCTGGACCTCTAGCACTCTATAGGCAAAAGTATGATGATAAAACATGATAAAATACATGTAGACCTTTAAGTCGCATGCTGAAGGCAATATATTAGAATTGGCTCGTAATTTCGATCTCTTGGGTTTTGTTTAACCAGACCCAGAGGAGCTCTCATACAGCCTACAGATCATGATTTCAGCTGATGCACATGCATTAAATGTTCTCATGGGCTGAGGGCTATTAGTCCCATTCCCCTGTCACTCTGGCGCCTTTACGCGTGAGGTTAGAGGCATTTTACGCATGGACTGCAGCTGAGCAGTAACAAACGCTCTCACATTGGCCATAGAAACACATGGCTGTGTGCCCTGGTATGGTGGAACAGCAACAGGCTAGAAGCACGCTGTATTGCACGTTTATGAGTTAGCAGAAACAATAGAATAGTGATAATAACACACGTGAATCAATCACTCGACTCACCTCACAATAATGTACATAACCAGCACGTTTCCAACCAGCCCCACTACGCACACTATGGAGTAGAGTGCCGTGATGACAATCGCGATGATGACCGGGTTCGTGTCGTCTAAGTCAGTCAGATGTCCCCTCTGGTCAGCGCCGCATTTCAAGTCCGCGAAGCCCGAAGTAGTGTTGTTGGTGTCGGTGAAGTTCCGACAGAGACTGCTGTTCTTGTAAACCACGGGGAACTGGCTCCAGTAATCCGCGTCCGAGCCATTGCTTGCGCTCTCCATGGTGCTCAGCCTCCGAGTGCTGTAGATACGCTCTTACCGGTCACAGGTGCCGTCCGGCGGACTTGACGTGACTGAAGAGCCGGGGAGAAGTGAGCTGGCTGCTCCAGAAGAGGCGCCAAAGCAGCTCAGTTATTGTCAAAGTGAGGAGCGTGAGGTGATCTGCGCGGAGACACGCGGCTGAGTGGGAGCTTGGCTTCACTGCAGCCTGTACGGGACAGCAGTTTGCGCGCGCCCTTTTCCTTCTGTCTCCATAGGTCGTGCTCAACTTCCTACCGTCCTACCACACCAAGGTACCTCAGACACATGGTTTTGTTTACTATTCCTGTGTCTGTGCTGTTTGGCCTCATTAGACTATCAATTAGGTTTCTGTAATATGCCTACAAGTCACTATAGGCCTACGTTATATTGTTTTGTATTTAGTGCTTATTTAAGCCAATTTATTCATTTTCAAGCGAAATACTTCAGCAGCAGCCCTTAGCCTTAAGCTATGAGGGAACAGATTCTCGTGTGGATTGGTTTAGCAGTTCAAGTCTTTCACGTGTCAGCACTTTGAAGAGAATCCAAATAAAATAATAATAATAAAATTTAATCACAGTCACAACGCTTAATTTGTGTATTTGTATTTGTCTGTTTGCATATTTGCTATATTTGTCCAGAATAGCGTAGCTCTACAACAGGACCAATGATAGTAGCCATTAAAGCACTCTCCTTTATTAGATCCTGAAAAAAGCTATAGTTACTTTCATTCTCACATCCTTTTCTTAATTTATGGAGCAGCCTATTAATTGCATTCCATTTTTATAACAATAAGCCTATAATTATGGTTCTGGATAACTACTTCTCTCATATAACTGAATAATATAAGTTGTAGGTTGTAGTTGAACTTATAAATGCTAACACAAAATCAAATATTTACATTGGCAATATGCAGCAGTGAAAATGTATTTACTTTTATTTAAGACCAGCAGGAATTTGATTGTTTATAGACATTTTATGTAGCTCTGAAAAATATTTTAGGCTATATCTCCTCCCTTTTCCTTTTTAAATTTGAAACCAAATGTAACTTGATACAATTATGTGCTTACTTTTTTCATGGTTGTAAGTGTATCTGGGCTAGACTTAAAACATAAGTGGCCCCTGTGTGCAGTTCCTTAGACGTAACCCACAGTGATTTATCTTGAGGAATTCATCATTTTCTTCTCTTTGTCATGTGACAGCTTGGTTTTGCTCAGCACATCTCTGTAACTACACATGTGTCAAACAATAACAGGCTGCTGGGATTATGTTCAACCCTTTTCGTCTTCTGACCGGGGTGGTGAGGCACTTGTGAGGGCACTTTCTTCATGTTGTTTCAGACACTGTAATCAGGAAAGCCCTGGAGTATGGCACAGTATAATCCAATAGGAATTGATTTAATCAGAGTAATGTGCCACTTGTCTCATTACTGGTCCGTAGAGGTGTCCAGTGACCAAAGATCAGTTGGTAAACGTGCCGTGGGGTTGTTTGTGTTGGGGCTGTTTAAACACAGCGGTACGACTCAAAGTCACACTGCTTACTCCGACTGCAAAGGGAGTTTAATCAGTGCACTCCACACAAACAAGCCACTAAAAAGGATGGGCCATTACAGTTCCTGCTAGTCTGATTTTCTCCATAGTCGAGGCTCGTTGGTTCAGACCACAAGCACAGCAGAGTTGGGTTTTTTAAAGGAGACCCTAATAAAATATGTAATGTTCACATGAAATCATCATGTAACAGATAATACTTTAAACTGTTATTGTTTAAGGTTTGACTCCAAGGCTACTGTAACTACTTCAGAAACTGATTTGTTTAATTCATTTAATTTAAGTTTTTAAACTGTTAATTTGCAGTATGTCCCACCATGGCAGGAGCAGAAGGAAATCTCGGGGTCCTTCCTGATTTAAAGGTTTTTGTGAGGACCATAATATTTTGCTTTCAATTGTGCATTGCTTTAACAAATCAGGAAGGAATGCCTGAAATACATGAATAGACTGCTGCGCCTTGGTCCTGGATAAGCAGAGTAGCTGACATTTATTGGATAAAATAACTAAAATGCTTAAAATATAATTCTATAATTGTAGCTCAATTTTCAGCCTTACAGCACCGTGATAAGGGCTATTATCCCTGAAATGGAACATCACAGTTTTATTTATTCAATCCCTGTGGCTACATGCACTCCAATGATTTCTTAATTTGAATGTCATGAAAACTGCAAAACTCCGTGTGAATGTTCAGAGAGACCATGATCATAAAAAATCAGATTTATAGGTTTACATGTCATTTTAATAATTGTGTAACTCAATAATCAGATATGAAGTGCTGCCACTGTTTCTAGCCATCTGGATTCATCTTCTTTATTTCTGTAGACTTATTGATTTTGCATTTGTCACATATTTTTTAATGGTTTAGAAATTTGCATTTTAAAATCTCCTTGGGGTTAACAGCAAAGTTAACTGAAAATTAGCTGTGATGAGTTCGTTTTGAGTTATATAGCTGTGAAGTCCACATGCTAAAAGGACTAATCACAAATAAATCTCCAGAGAGTCGTTACCATTCGCGGTGTGAAGATGGAAAGGGAAAAGTTCCTGTTGCCATGGCGAGAACAGGACCAGAGTGCCGTGGCAACACAGTTTCTGGGTTCACAGGTGATTTGGAGCCTGTGCACTGATGATACAGCTGCACTCATCCCTGTGACCTAAACTCTGGGAAAACAATTGAAAATGCCACTGGTGAACCTGACTAATAGGGCCCAGCAGGGAGCTCGAGCAGACATGTAATGGCACTGTAGGCTAGTGTAGTGAGCATACCAGGCTAGTGCACATGACAGGAAGCAAAAAGTGAAAATCTGTTGCTGTTGGTGTGAAAAGAAACTACTAGCATCATTAAGTACGATTACCTGCTACTTGTCAATGAAAATGTATAGGGCCATACACATAAAATGGTTTTCTTATCTCTGTTTAATACACGTTCCACTGAAGGAGCCTGTTATTCCAAAATAGAACTTTCTTGCTGTGAAAACATTGTGATGGCTTTTGAGTAAATCTATCTTAAAATGCAGATAAAAACAGTAAGATAAGAACAGTCAAGATATTTTGCTCACTTTTGTTGCAAGTTTTAAAACCACTATTGATGAGATTACGAGATTATAAAAAGATTGTTTTACAAAATTTTCTCCATGACCAAACAACAGTGGGAAACTTTATTCACTTTAATTCACAATATATTGTCCAATTACTGTAATACATGGCCACTATTCTACTATGTGACCTTTCTGAATGATAAAGTAATGTTAAAAAGGCCCTAATATGCAAAATCACCTTTTAGAGCTTTTTTTTTTTTTTTACCATAGGCTGTTTGAGTTCAATAAATCAAGTTTTCGGTCTCTAGTATCTGTTGATATCAGGTATACTGCTTATACTTAAAGTCAAAGTATCTGCATCAGTTTATGACAGAAAAAGCCTGCATAAAGCATCCTTAACTATAACCTTACTGATTATATTTAACAACCCCCCAAAATAAAATCTATGCTGCATCTTCATTTTTCACACCATTTTTGGCCAGCATGCAGACTTTTTTGTATAAGCTTAATGTTCTAAGTGTGCAGCAGCAGTTTAAACAAAGCTAAATATTTATCGATTCTTTCGTGCTATAGCCATTCGTTTGGCTGTATGTTATGAAATATGGCTCATGTGTGTTTATGGAACCCTCCCTAGTGCTTGTGGTCATTGTATAAAACTGACACACATCTCCACTAATCTAACAAACTGAGAATTTCCATCAGGTAATTAATGATATACTAATAGTGTTATGACAGGTGGATTTTCAGTTTTAATAAAGCCAAATGAGCAGGGGGAAAGGCAATTAGAAATCTTTGTCAACGTTTGCTGAAATATGCTCCGTTGGTTTAATGGGAATGGAATTAAAATGACTGGAGGTGATTGCTGAACACATGGAAAGACATTAAATTATAAAGCAGCTGTGTAAGGAGGGAGTTAGGGGAAAAACGCTGGACTTCAAATGGATATGGAAGCCTTTCTGGAACATTTTGACAGAACTGGACTTGACTGACAGTTGACATTTTGTTTACCCAGTGTAGTTTTATGTATGTTTTATTTTTACTTTGACAATGTTTGAATCCAGACTCAAAGCAGTTCTGTTTAGCTGTGCGTATATTTTTTTTTAAATTCTGTACTATTCTCTTTTAAAGTTAATTTTATCATGGTAAATGGTCACATTTTAAAATAACGCCTTTTCATCTTCAAGGCACTCAAAGCGTTTTACATCAAGGAACCTCTCATCCATTCACACACGCATTCATACCCCAGTGTACACAGACACTACGGCTGAGGTGGGTTCAGTCTCTTGCCCAAGGACACAACAACAGCATTTATCAGTGGGCGATGGAATTGCACCGCCAACCTGTGGGTCAATGGATCTGACCGCTCTACCAATGATGTTTATGATGAGAGTGGGATTCAAACCCCCAACCTTCAGAACAGTGTGAATTGTGCTATACAAACAAACTTGCCTTGCCTAGCCTGTGTTGAGTGTGGAGAAAAATAAAAAAAACCTATAAAGCAGCTATGTCATGGAAACTTCCAAGAAGAGCTTGCACAACTTCCTAACTTGGTAATCTCAGTTCCAAAACTCAACTGTTGACTGAAGACACTGTGGGCAGAGGACTGTCCTGGGTTAACAGACAGACCACACATGTTTGAAGGTCCTCTTTTATGCAAAATGGATTCTTGTGAGCTTTTAGTCATGTTATAATGTTACCTCATCAAAAACATATTTGTATAGTTGTTTTGTTTCATTCACACATATTTGAGTAATCGTTTATCCCGTCTTATCTGGTTGTCTACATCTTCAGAGCTCAAAATGTTATGATCTACCTTGTGATGTCATGTATTGGTAGTTCTCAAGTTAACAGCTACTTTGAATCCTGGATAATTTAATTTTTAATAGGTAATTCTAGGGCTGAA